ATTTTAAAATTTAAATGTCTTGATTGTAAAATCAATAATCATGATAAGATTATAAGAAAAACAATTCGTTTTATCGTTTTATGCCCTAAACCACACCACGCCACCACGGTCGTTTGAGGAGTAATAGGGCCAGATACAACTAGCGCTGTAGTTCGTGAGTCCACCACCCATCGACGCGCAATAACAGCCCGTTATCCAACCTGTGTAGATAACCGTGCTATGAACTAAAGAAAATATGCAGAATGAAAATGAAGAGGTAGTTATCCGAGAATTAGTAGCGAGACTTAAATAAAAATGATAATATTTTTGATTCGTTCTTAAGAAGAAATTATGTTTGGTTTATAATCCATAAAATATTTTTTTATACCTAAAATGCATACATATTTTTCTATACATTAATTTTTTTTTTTTGTTAGCAAATTAAAATTAAAAATTGCTTGTATTGAAAATCGTTTATTAATTAAATTACTATTTTTTTCTATATACGCATAAAATGTATTATATATAAAGACCGGATTTAATTGATATTGCAACTTTTTTTTTAGTTAAGATAAATCAAACCTGATCAAATATGTACACGATTTATATTAATTACTGTCTTTCTGTWTAATTTTATGTTGCAATTTATTGCAATTTTTTTCAATTTTGTATATTTCACGTAATCAAATGTACAAGTCAATATTTCTTAACTAATTTTATCATATAAAAATAATAACATTATTGTGGATTTTTATTATTGGTTTGAATAATATTATGATTTTAGAAGTATAAAGGAGTATTATCTATGTTATTTATTGCTCGTCTGGAATTTTCTAGCTCAAATTACTGCGACTAGCGATAAGCGTCGTGTGCGTTTACCCGTTGATACATACTAGTACCTATTCCTTTGATCAGTTTGACCGTACAAACCAACAATGAACGTATTCGTCAAAATGCCTAAAATAAAATAAAATTTAAAAAGTAGTTACACTTATCCGAGTTATGCACGAATCTCAAAAATTTGGAAGAATCTAATAGTGAACTATTGAAAAGTATGGATAYTTTTRGAAAAMTTGAAGATATTTTAACAAATATTCCTGGTCCAAAAGGGGAAAAAATTAAGGAAAAATTTATGTATGTAATTGAAAAAAATGAAGGGTATAAAACTTTAAAGTGTTACTATGAAGTCATGTCAGGTAAAGCAAATGTTAATTTAAATATAACGACTACTTTATTAAATTGTTTTAAATAATATGCACCAATAACGAGTGTTGACGTAGAACGTAGTTTCTCGTTGTACAAACATATTTTAAGTAATAGAAGATTTAATTTTAATGAAAATAATTTAGAAATATATTTAATCATCAATTTTAATTCAAAAATGTAATATTAATATTAAATGTAACTATGAATTAATGAATATATAAATACAACTTGCATTTTTATAGTGCAATTTATTTTGCAATTTTTATGGGATTTTTGGTGCAATTATACAATTTTATTATGCAATTTTTGAGTGTTTTTAATGCAATTAAATCCGGTCTTTAATTAAATATTAGTATACATCCATAAACTATACTGTAATTTGTTGGTAAACCGCATATTAGGAGACAGCCTTTTAAAGTATTGAGTAATGTTGCAATATATTAACTTTAAAATGTATGAAAATTGTTAATATAATAATTACTCATTTATTTCTCAAGATAAGAATACTGGGTCTCACTTAGTATTCTCAAGTTGAGACCCAAGGAGTTATTATGTGTACATGTGTATATTTATTACTAGTATATAAATCACATGTTTAAAAATATTAATTATGTAATAAAGCTAAAACTGAGAAAATATGTACAAAAATATTATAGATACGTTTTACTTTATTTATTATTAAAAGTGTATAATAATATTCAATTCCCATGACAAACATTTGTGCTAAATTAGATACCTTTCTTACTATTCACAGATATATAATATATAGGTATTTGCCTAACACTTTATATTACAGTGTCATATTTGATAAACCTTGTATCAATAATTTTATCAGCATCAGATACAATATTGTTAAATTTGTTTTCCATTTCAAGTTCATCAGTTTTCAATTATTTTTGTAAATAAATTTAAGAATATAGATACAAATTATTTTAAGTACCTAGGTACTGAAAATAGTACAGATCGAAAAAAAATTTTAAAAAGGGTGATATCAAAATATATAATAAATGACTAACCCAAATATTCTCTACAAGTTACAATTAAGAAAATGTGTAGGCACCTGTAATGAAAATAATCAATTAAAAATAGTTAATATAAGATGTCCGAACACAAGCATGCCCCACTATAAGATCACCGAACACGTTAGTTTGTAGGTAGAATCAAAATAACAAACATAACAAACATCTTTAAGATAAAACAATTTTTTACTTAATAAAGCCCAACAATAATTTCTGGTTAACTAATAATTAATATTTACAAGACAATATCATTATTCTTATCTATAGCGTATTTTTACCATAGAAACTAAAGTATTTTTTTTTTTTTAAATTGTGAAAATTTTATTTATTTTAAGTAATTACAAACATTTTTAAATAAGATATTGTAAAACCATTGGCATTAAGTTGAAACACCAAATAAATAATAAGATCAATAATTAAAATGTATACAAATTATGCAATGATAATTAAGCCGTAGGTCAGACATAAAAAATAATTGTAAGCCATTTGAAATTGGTTATATATCGAATAGCTTTAGTTAGTGTCTGTCATGCAAGGTAGAAACTGTTTTTCTGCAAATTGGTCGAGGGAATATTTTTGGGCATCAGTAGTTATGTGTAAAAGCAGTAACATACTGCTCTTTAGAAACAGAGTGAAAGCATCAAGATTTAGCAAACTTAGCAAAGAAACTTACGAATTTTTCAGCATCTATTAAATAATGAATTACTTAACAATGAACATTTTTTTAAAATCCTTTAAAAATAATTTTGTTTATTATTAATGGTAATAATTAATATAAGAATAATATGCAATATATAGTGCAACTATTGAATTTTGCCTAGAACATGAAAATTAAAATCAAAACTTGGCTTTGTTTGTTTTATACAATTTATGATAGAATTTAATTTAATCATTTACTTTTGAGTTGTTACTTGTATTTTATCAAGTTTAAATACAAATTACCTATAAAGATACCTACTGAATTAATTTGATAAATCTTAGGTATTAATTAGTTCAATGAACAGGTAAAACAAGAATAGTTTATTGAATTAAAAATAAATTGAAATACATATGATGCAAATTGAAATTACAATTTTAAAATGAGATAATTTGGCAATAGGTATTTCAAACAATTTTAATTACTTTTTCTACTTGTGCAGAAAATATGAAATAAAATATTGACCAGTCTATACTGTCAATACTCATAATAATTAATATATGTGAAGTAATAAATACGACAGAACTCTAATTCCATAAAAATATAAGTAATAATTGAAGTATATGTATTTATGTAGTAAATTTGTATGTATGTAATTAAATTATGTTACTGTAAACATAACCAAACACTTATTTTTCAGTGCTTAGTATATTTGTCCCATAAGATATAGTGAAATTCGATGTTACCACTTATAACATGATAATTTTTTAGTACATATTAAGGAAGTTAATTGGTTTTTCAATAGGTTTAAGTTTGAATGTCCGTACAAAAAGGTACACCAACTGGGAACTTAAAACCTAACTATGATATGTCAACAATTAGTGTATAACACAAACTTGTTATGAATGTAAATAATATATTATAGATATAACATAATATAAGTAAAGAAAGTAACTTTGATTACTATATTAATAAGGTATTGGTAATAATTCTAATTCCAAATTCGTACTGGACACATTTAGTAAAGTAATTTATGACAAAATAAATAATCATACCAACTTATAAGTGACAAAAGTTTAATTGGGATCGAGAAACTACCAGATTAATAATGTTGAATAAAAGAACCAAATTGAAAGTACCTAGTAAATGTTAACTGATTGTAGTCTTAACAGTCCTATGTATATCAAATGGGGTACATAGAACTCTTGGATGATATTATCGTGGTCCACTACCACATAGTGAAGGAGTACAACCAACCAACTACTTAAAAATAGGACGAGTCGCTGCTCTGTCCAACGGCTACAGTTGTAGGTGACTGTTACCTGAGAGATTCAAGACGACTTATGTTGACAGTCGGTCCACATTGGTCCTGCGACGCTGCACCAAAGCATGATTACGGACCGTACTAGGATAAGTCGGGCAAGGACAGTGACAGCAAACAGCTTTCGATGCGTTACGACAAACGGAACCGCGTATTACTCTGATGATACTTCGGCGGTTTAATTGTGACGACGTCGGGCAAATGGATGTAGTGAGAAACAAATTAACATCGGCTTCGCCGAGCGAGAATGACGACGCTGCGAAACGAATAATATTAATAATAATAACAACGTGAATAAGAGATGAAGGCGGGTGCGTGCGTGCGTGTGATATGATATTATAATCACAAATTTACGAAACGGCCTGGCGGCTCGCGGCGCACAGCGGTTCGTCGGCGGCCGTCATGTACTGGATTGTGGTGTAGTGGTGGAGGCACGCAGCGTCTACGGGAGCCGGTCGTATAAAAGATCGGAGGAGGAGAAGCTCTTTGTAACGGGTGACGAAGGTCGGAGAGGCCGCGCACAGGTAAGATTAAAACTATATTATGTTATATGAATACAAATTACAAATGTACAGTATCATGCAGTGTATATTTTTTTGTATTTAGTAATGACAACAGCGGCGGCTATTGAAAATACGATACACCCGCGCATGCGCACAACCAAGTATAATTGCAGTAATAGTTAAGCACACACGGTAACGATAACAAAGAAAGCGGTGGCAGGACAGGACAGGTGGTGGCTCTTTTGCTAAACCGTCAGCTACTTCTACCGAACCAATGTGACCAACTAAATAGACAATTTAGAGTTTGTAGTTGGCATTCTCGCACTCGCTAAATATAATGAATATAATATAATTTAATAATAATACTAATACATTTCGCTTGGGTATTTTATTCAAATAAATATCTTACAATATTTTGGATAGAAATTGTCTTGGTTATCTATTTATCTTGCTTTTGAAATTTAAATTATTCTATTATCATGGACTTTTTTTATATTTTTCACCAACAACCTAGCATAGTTGTAAAACATAATACCTATGTAGTATGTATACATACTTGATTAAAGATAAATAAATGGTAGCTGTAGGTAATTTTTTGAATATAGCMTCAAGTTGTTATTACAATTATTCCAACGATAAACATTAATTAATTTAAAATTGCCACTAAAGCAGTCAACAAATCATAAATTTATAGATAAATATTTCAAACATTTTCCCATTTTATTTATCAAATTATTTACCGCAATTCGTAAAAAAAATTACTGTGGGACACAACTAGTTACCACTTGTTGAAAAAACTATTAATTTTCAGGTATTGCAAAATTATCGTTTTGCAACACCAAAAATAAAGTTTTAAGTTCTAAGTTGGTTTCATATGAAGCGAATGTTCGAGGGGCGAACGCGATTTTAAATCGCCGCAAATATTTTTTCAAAATTGAACACCTCTATTTACCTAATGTCTAATAGAATAAAGATTTTTATTTATGAATATAAAATATTAATCACATTAGATACTATTATCAATTTAAGCATAATAAAATATATTTACATCAATTAAGCCAAATTAAATTGACATCCACTTTCTGTGCTTTAATACCAAACCTGTAAAAAAGTAATTAAATTTGTATTTTTAAAAAATATTTATATATTACTATCTTATGCAAGAAAAACTAAAATGTTATTTAAAAAACATGAGTAATTTTTCATACCTGTAAAACAATATATTAGTAAAGTGATTCCCAAACTGTGCACCGCGAGCACATTCTTAAGGCATCGCAGTCTACGACTCAAAATAAATAATTTGAAATTTATAAAATTCGTTATTAATTAGGATCTTTTTGTTCTGTCTTTCATGGTATTCATAGTAGGACATCGTGACTATATTTGGTCCAAAAAAGGGCACCACGGAAAAATAAATTTAGAACCGTTGTATTAGTCAATAAAATCTTCTGCAATTTAATTTTTAAATTAAATTTAATAACATTGTTTTAATCACTTTAATCACTTAAACACTCTGATTTAAGTATCTACATACTAGGTACTAATATAGTCTGAAAATCAACCAAAATGCCGTTTATTAATTTTATTTTAGATTCTGAGCGGAGCGATGAATTTTTAAATTTTACAATGATGTGTGTTTTTAATTCTGAACGGAGTATTGATTTTAGTTTTGATGTGTGTTTGTTTTTTTTTTGTGTGTGTCTGTGTATACAGGATAACTAGTCGGGAAAAGTGAATATTCTTGGTGCATTATAGAGGTAAAAAGTAAACATTTTCCAACAGTTTTAAAAAAAATCGAGAAAAACAAATAAAACAGGAATTTTTACGCAAAACCAGTTTTCGACCAAATCGATTTTTTTATATGGTTGTAATTCAAAAACTAATTACTGTAAATACTTGAAATTTGACTTTTTTGAGTTATTTATAGACCACTGAAATATTTTTTGAAGTATCGGTAAAAAAATGTTGGATGACCAAAAAAACTTGAAAATTTAATACAAGGTTCCTTATGAGTTGTTCTTATTGAAAATAAAAAAAAATTAAAAATCGTTAGTCACAATTTTTTTTATAAGCGTTCAAATTTTTACGAAATCTGTCGAAAACGCGAAAATGTGCAAGTAATTTTGAAGTTGAAAAATCATAAAATTTTTTGTGTTTATAACTAAGGATTTAAAATTCAACACTAAGTTTTCCTTCAAGTGGCTATAGAGAAAACTCGAAGCATCATTACAGGAAAAATTTTAAGTGCGTTTGAATTTTAAATTTTTACAAAATAGCGTAACGATAACGATTTATCCTCAAACGATTTTAAATATTTGTTATTACTTTATTAGGTATTCAAAAAGTATAAGTCGTAAACACTTGAAAATTATACCAATTATTTAGATTGGAATTTTCTTTACAAGATTTAATTTTCAAAATATTTTTACATTTTTTGAGATACTTATAGACAACTGAAATTTTAAATTTTTCAGAAAATTTTTTTTTTGAAGTGTCAATAAAATTTTTTTGCCCAATCAAAATACTTTAAAATTTAATACAAAGTTCCTCATAAGTTATTCYTATAGTGATTAAAAAATTATAAGAATGCATAGGCACAATTTTTTTTATTATAGAATTTGAAGTTGAAATATTGACAAAAATTCGTCAAAACCATGAATATTTGCATATTATTTTGTAATTAAAATTCCATAAAATTGTTTGTATTTATATCTAATAAAGTTAAAAAATTCAACACTAAGTTTTCCATAAGTTTTGTTTCAAATAGCTATAGAGAAAATTTGAAGCGTAATATTATAGGAAAAATGTTTTGAGCGTTTGAGTTTTAAATTTTTTTGAAATCGCGTAACGATAACGATTTATCCTCAAACCAGGTATATGTATATCTATGATAATATAAGGTATTATGAATTATGATAACTACATGCAATGTTTTTGGAAAAATTGATTAACCATGCTTTATGCAAAATGCGTCCTAATTGAAAAATAAAATATTTGTTTCAAAATAGAATATATGACAATATTTAAATTAAATATAATATATCCTAGACCGACAAATTATCTCCGTTCAGAATCATTTTTCGTATACAATGATACCTATCATTGCATTAAAATTTAACCTACCCTAGTCAGAGATCCACCCCACCTCCTAATGTACAGCAAAGCAACATCCACTTACCCGCTTTTTTTTTTGTCTGTCCGATAAGTTGTCGAAATAATGCTTTGTTTTATAACTTCTGTAGTAGCTTCTCCGGTTGAAAAGAGAATCTTTTTGGTGCGCTGAGGAGGTCAAAATTCCTATTAATTTTCGAAAGCACCAGGAAAAAAACAAAAACAAAAATAAGGGTAGGTAAATGGGAATTTTTACGCGAAGTCGGTTTTTGATAAAATAGTTTTTGGACTTGGATGTAACTCTTAAACAAATATTACTGTAGCTGAAATTTACTCTGAATATTTATATTATTATTTTTAATACCCCATAAAATATTTTGATTTGTTCAAGCTGCTTATGGTCATTTTCAGTTTTTAATTTTTAAGTTCGAAGTTATAAGAGTATTTAATTACATCTCAGATTCGAAATTTCAATACAAGACTCTTCATAAAATTTTCCAGTTACATTTATCAGATAAAAATTATCTACTACTTGAAAGTAATATCAAATTTTTACAACAATCAATTTTTCTTATAACAATATTCTTATTTTGTTGTTATTCAAAAACGAATAACTGCAAAAACTTGAAAATAACCAGTTTAAGAACCATATGTCTATTAATGAATTTATTAATTTTACAATGATGTGTGTTATTTTATTTTATTTTTTTTTTGTGTCTACACGCGCGGTAAGTTGTCGAAATAATGCTTTAATTTCAACTTCATCACAGTATTTTTTCCGGTTGGCCAGTGAATCTATTTGGTGCTTTGAGGAGGTCAATTTTGGAATTCCTAGTAGTTTTCTAAAGTACCAGAAAAAACAAATAAAAACTTAAGGAAAACCGGAATTTTTTCGTAAAATCAATTTTTGAGAAAATCGAATTTTAATATTGCATGGTGTATCTCGATCTATAACAAATTACCGTATACACATGAAATTTTCACTGAATATTTATGATGGCATGTTCCATAATTGATATAATTTTCAAAATATTTCAAATTCTTTTAAGGTATTTATAGACATTTGAAATTTTCAATATTTTTAGTTAATTTTTTTTTTAAATGGCCGTAAACTTTTATTGATTTGGTTGAAAAACTTCAAAATTGAATACAAGGCGCCTAATATATTATTAAATTGTTAGTTAAAAAATATTAAGAATAAATTATCACAATTTTTTTTTAACAAGCAAATTTAAGTTCAAATTTTGACGTAAAGAGTAAAAATCACTTTTTTAGTAAAAACATCATACATTTTTACAAATTTCTTTATGAGTTTGTATAATTTTATCAAACAAAAAATTTCTACCGGAAATTCAAATAAAATTTTTATGAGCATTTATTGAATTATAACATTGGATATTCACTCAATTTCTCTTGTACCGATATTCTTATTTTGTTGTTATTCAAAAACGAATAACTGTAGAAATTTGAAATTTGAACCATATTTTTATTTTATTAATTCCAATACTTGATAAAATGTTCAACAATTTTTAAGTTGTTTATAGACAATTTAATTTTTCCTTTATTTTAGTTTTTTATTGTATAAATGTCGATAAAATTGTATTCATTGGGTTAAAAAACTTGAAATTGTAATTCCAGGTATCCCATAAGTTGATATAGTAGCAGTTGGAAAATATTAAAAATACATAATATATAGGCATGTTTTTTTGTATATAACCATTTAAAGTTCACATTTTTACAAAATGTATTTAATTGAAAATTTACTAATTTACAAGTGTATATATATATTTATGATAAAATAAATATAAATTGTATAACTACCTACATTACAATATAACATACTAACTTTAAATAAATGTTTATTTAATATCGCAATAATAATGTTAATTATTAAATAAACATTGAATTTTGATTGTGAAATGTTCATTTTAACATTAAAGTAACCTTATGTTAACATTGATTGGTCAAAAATTCTAAATTAATTTAACATCATATCCTAAACGTGTAATCAATGTTGTTAAATTAAGCGTAATCAAACATTATTATACCATATAAATATGATTTAATAAATTTCAAATAAATCATTATTTAACCAAAAATTAGATGTTCCCTTCATGTAACCTTCATTACCAATATATTATAGAGTATGCAGAATAATCCTTTATGGGTGGCGATGAGRGAGGGAGGTATTATTTGTATATGTATAAAAAATGTTGTTAATATAATATTTCATAAAAGAAATCATCATATAAATTTTACTTCTAAGGGGGGGGGGGGGTTCTCCCTGTCGGTACGAAACTGAATGTATACATTATATAATAAAACAATTGTTTCTTTATATTTATCGAACAAATTATTCATGGATTATACATTATATATTACCTATATATTAGTCATAATTTAATTATAAAAACATTTTTTGAGATTTGAGAGTGTAATTAACGAATTAAAAATTTTAATACCTGTAGAGCGTAGATTAGTATTATAAGTTTGTATTATGAATGTTAATAAGTGGTTTTATTGTTGTATTTACAACCAATTGTTATTACCTACTTTAATTATTATAATTTTTAAAATATATGCTTTATATTATCATTAATGTTTGTTTATTTGATCATATTATAAATAATAATTATTAACTATAGACTTGTGGAAAAGTACACCTTAAGTGGCTTAGTACCTAACCGTACAACTGTTTATCCAAATAAACAAATAATAAATAATCAATGTAACTTTAATCTCGATACCCAATACCAAAAAAAGTAAAATTATGGGCTGGGTTTAATGGTGAATTTGAAGACCAAAGTCTGTGCACGCCTAAATTTCAGAGGTCTACTGGATTGATAATTATTTAACAATTCAAATAGTTCTTCCTGTCTACTAGAGATTTTGCATAATTCTACTTAAAAAAAAGCCAAATAGTTAATAATAGTTTTTTGAAATTCTATAGAAAAAAAAAATACATTTAAAAATTAATAACAATAATTTAGAATTATATAGTTCAATTGGATATATATATATTTTCATTATTTGCAGTCAATAATAATAAAGAAATATCCTGCTGTGTGCAAGAATAATTTGAAGTCTCAACTGAAAATTAAAAGTCATAATATATTGTATATTAAAGATTTTGCACATAAAAATAAAAATGAAATTGTATTGACATATTAAACGTTGGGGATTGGTGTTCTATTTTTTTTTTGTTTGTTCTTCATTATTGGTGGTAGGTATTACCTTTTTTGAAGAAGTTATAATATTAACATGTTTAAAATTGTTAGCTGCAGTATTTGACTCATCATTGATATAATCTGATAAATAAATTTAAATTCTTTAAAATTTAAATTGTAAAAATGTTGTTGATTATTATAGTTAGAATATACTAAAAATGTGAAACTTACCATTTATAAATTCATTTCCAACAATATCTGAAAAAATGAATTATAATTTTTAGAATAATTAAGACCTGAACAAAAAAATTTTTCTTTGTTTTTTGTATTCTACATAGCAATTAAAAACGAAAATATATTTGTGAATTTTTCGTTTTATTTCGATTTGTAGGGCTTATTAAGTTCCCTTATTAAGTTTCATCTGTTATATGGTTTCATTAGATATGTCTAGAGCGGGAAAGCATCATCAGCTACAATAACAGCATTTTCGGGGGTATTAAGTGCATTGTTTTCCAATACTTCAAAAAAAGAGCTTTCTCGAAATACACCACCATTTGATGCTTTTCCATTTGCACCAACATCAATATACGTGTTATTTTGAGTAAAGTATCTGCTGGTATAGCTTCCCTCATTGTTGTATTCAATTTTTGTACTTTAAATTTAATTTTATTTAATAAAAAATCAAAGTGTGTAACTGAAATTCTTAAAATGTTTTTGAAATATTCCGGGTTTTCATTTCGTGATTCATAAACGCAGAACCACCATTATTGATCCGTCTTTGAATCCACTGTCTTACCCACCATCTTTTTAACTTAAATTTGTCAATTTCTGTTAAACGTTGTTTTAATTATTTAGCCAATACACCGGACAAAACAGCACATGCTTCGGCTACTAACGATTCCATCTTACTGAATGCAAATTGCGTTCACGTGTAAACACCATCACGATTCGTATGATACTTTTTGAAACCACGCTCGTGAGTCACAACTCTCAAGAGTCAAGATCTGAAGATCGTGAGATACGATCGTGGCTCACGTCTCGTGTAAACCCGCCTTTAGCCATGGAACGTTTCGTTCTCACGGAGGCAGCTTGCTATCACGGAGTCGCCAGTTATGAGTGATAACACTGATAACGGTTTTTAATATCGCGAGATGCGAACCCTCCAGCCGCCTGTGTTGCGTCGTTTCGAATTCGATATTAGTATAATATAGTAAATATTGAATAAGTATCCCAATTCCCAATTGATCGATTGAATGAAAAAAATTGTTTGATACCACCTTCATCATTTGACATGTCAAAAAAGAACATCGTGTTCGTTACTGGAAACTTGAAAAAACTGGAAGAAGTGATGCAAATGTTTAAGAATTTTTACAAAGATTCCGTTCCTTTTGATGTGAGTTATAAGCTTATAAAATATTTATTAACACGCTCGTTATGGTTTTGGGACTGGTTTATTTATTTTATTGCAGTTGTCTAATAGGAATATCGACTTGCCTGAGCATCAAGGGGAACGGGATGAAATATGCAAAATGAAAGCTCGTGCAGCTTTTGATATTATAAAGGGTCCTTGTATTGTAGAAGATACTAGTCTCTGCTTCAACGCGATCGGTGGACTGCCAGGTAAATTATTTACTTGCATTTATGAGTTTGTTTTAATGATTAACTTAAGTTATTTTACAGATTTTTTGGCGTAGAAATAAATGTTTTTTACTCTTCTAATAACAATTTTGTACTTATTTTACTGGGTCTCAGACTTGATATTTAAATACCTATTCTTGTTTTATCAATATTAATGTTTGCGATTATGGTCAAATATGACTTTTATAATAATTTTAAACTTTTTTAAAATTATAAATAATTATATTTAAAAGTATGGTATTATAATTTATATTATGTATGTTTGGTTTATTAATCATCTAGATTTTGTACAATTTTGCACGTAGTCTGTATTTTTAGTTGATATTCATTACTATTTTTATCTAGGTCCATATATTAAATGGTTTTTAAAAGCAACTGGTCCTATTGGTCTACATCGTATGCTCAAAGGATTCGAAGATAAAACCGCTATGGCTGTATGTACAGTCGCTTATGTTAATGAACAGGGTGAAGTGAACATTTTTAGTGGCGAAACTTATGGTACGATCATAGAGCCAACTGCCATTGAAACTTTTGGATGGGACTCTTGTTTTAAGCCAGATGGTTATGAGATAACATACGCAGAAATGCCTAAAGAAGAAAAGAACCTAATTTCACATAGAATGAAGGCAATGTATAAGTTAAAGGAGTTTCTTGACCACAATGTAATTATATAAAATGTTACACATTTATTTATTTATTTTAAAAAAAAAATCAATATTGTTTATCTTATTAAAAATGCATTTATGTTTAATCATCACTGTGCATTTATTTCATTAAGAATAAATTAGTAAAATATATGTTTATTGAATGAAGATGAAATACTTTTAAATCATATATTGGTTTAAAGAATGTATACAATTTAATAATAAATCAAAATATGATCTATTATGTTTAAAAATTAAATAATAATTGGAGATATTAATGTATAGGTCATGTTTTTCTTTATTATGACTTATAATGAAGTATAATGGTATACTCAAATATTAAATTGGTTACCATATATGCTGTTAAGGCAATGTTTATAAACTGATGTTAAATGTTAATATGATAATTAATATATTCAATGATGAATATTGATTATCTTGTTCATATAAAATATATAAAATATAATTATAAGAAATATTTTACAATAACTATTTGTTAACATTGTCCTATCTGCATATTTCTGCTAGGTGTTATTAATTTAAAGACAGTTGGCTATTTAGTGTAATATTGATATCTGTGAAAGGCACTCATGATGAGTTATAGCATATTCATGTTGAATTATGCAAGTAAATATTTAGTATATTACTGATTAATTAATTTTATTTAAATTGAATTATATTGTTAATAGGAATTGTAATTAGAAGTATAATCTTTTTTTTATTAAATTAGATAATGTTATTGTTAATTTAAAAATAAAAAAAATCATTATTTGGGTTAGCACAAAATTACGTCCATACCTATTCATTGCCTAGTGTCATAGATACAAACACAAAGATACTTACCAAAATCAAAGTGTTAAATTGGTTCAACTGGGCCAAAGGAAACAATTTTAAATTAACAAAGTAAAAATTGCAATTATGAAATTTAAGTATTTTATTTTKATTTTGATTAATAGTAGATGAGTAATAACTAATGATGACTTATGGGAAAAAATAAGTTCAACATTTTTGTTTACAAGTATTTTTTTACTTTATCTATATAAATTGTTTAAAAAGTTTTTTCCTATAAAGAATATTTTCGCATAAATGTGAGTGGTCGTATAAATTGCTACTATGTTTGGCATGTAATTAGACAATGCGTTTGTTCTGTCATAATATTTAAACCTCTGCGCAGAAAATACACTATTATCATCTATCAAATTAGTGTAAAACTGTAAAAAAATTGTATTTTTTTGGAATCTGGCAATGTGCCTAATTGTAACGCTCACTTGAAAGTGACAAGAGTCCTAGTGAGATTCTAAACTCTCCTAGCAAAATCAGATGTACAGACATAAAAATATCTATATTTGTTAACAATATTTTGCTCTATAGTGACAGTTTAACTCTTGTTGGGACCAGCATATTTATTTACTAAAATAGCAACAATTGGACCTATTTTTATACGGTTTTCGCAAAATAATCTTTGTTGTCAGTGGTGGGTTTCAAGCTATTAAAATCATTGATCCGACCAATATAAAAAAACGGGTAAGTGGATGTCGCTCTGCTGTACATTAGGTGGT